AGGAGATCACCGTCAGTGACGAGACAGCACGTCACCTGCTCTCGCTGCAGGGGTACGCAGTGCCTTTTTCCAGATACACTGTCTCCTCTAATTCATCAGTCCGACCTCAGACTCCAGTGCAGTGGGAAACCCTAGGAGCATCGGGTTCTGTGGTTTCTAAGTTGTTTCTTCCTCCATGGAAGCCTTGATGGGGAACATCGTGTGCTAAACAGATGACATTCTGTTATATTGCTAATGCTGATTACTTGTCGATCCTCATTACTAATGGAGGGTGCGTGCGTGTGAGAGAGAGAGAGAGACTGGGAGAGGGTGGAGGGGTGGTCAAGAGGATGTGGGGATCATTGGGGGCATATCAGGGGTCCTTCCTCCTAGGAACCATTCCTCCTTTCTAATCCTTAGCAGAGCTGACAGTGGGGGTGGGAGGTGCGGAAAAACGATGACCTCTTTTGCAATCAGTACTAGTCCCATGGAAAGGTTTCTAAGGAGTCCACTTTCCTGGGGGACCCGGCGATTGTTTTCCCCCTTGGGATGCAAAACCGCCCTCAGGGTACCTGATCCTCTCCTCCACCGTTGGAAAATGGGGACAGTAATAGCCACCTCACAGGGTTAGCATGAGGACAAGTGAGATGACATGTTCGTACTGCCTGGTGCATAGAGGGGCTCAGTACGCGGTAGCTGCAGCTCCTTCCCTCTCCTCTAGACTTACTGATGTGCTGCGATGAAATGCACGGAGCGGAGGCTAACCAGCAGGTGGGCAGCTGAGGAGCAGGGGAGCCTGGCCTGCCCTCGGCGGACAGACTGACACGCAGGGTGCAGAGGGCCAGGGACCTGCTCAGCGGCTGAGCCAGGTGGGCTGTGGGCCTCCCTGCTGAGGGGTCACCTGCTTATCATCTTTGCCATGAGCATCTGGCCTCAGAAAAGACCCTTCCTTTGCCACCCTACGAGGACGATGACAGGGAAATAAACACGAAGCGACCATTAGAGGAGCTGGGTTGCAGGCACCCTTCCTTCCTCTTTCAGGTCCCTGCTGTCTTCCTCCGATCAGCACACTTACGAATCTACAGGGAATCGCCATCAGCAACATGACAGTGTGCCCTCTGCTTTAGCTTCAGGGTTACAAAGTATCTTTTTACATAAGCACGCACAGCCTGGCCAGTTTCTTCTCACGCACTTTCAAGTTAAAACACTCTTTTACTGTGTTTGCTTTTGAGCTCCATTCCCCCAAAAGCCCAGATTCCCTCCCAGGAGCATGAGAGGCTCTGAGGCTGAGGTTCAGGCTGCACCCTCACCCCCTCCTCCGACTAGTGCTCGGCACCTTGGCCACCAGCCCTCTAGCAGGAGCTTTTAAACTCGGGCTTCCCACTGGACTGAGCTCTGCGAAGGCAGGAAACGAGGCTTCGATTTCTTATTTTCACCCTCCCGGCACCCAACCCAGTTCGCCGGATACCAACCCGGTTCACACCCATGTTGGCGTAGCTGCCGGAGGACACTGGGTGGACAGTGTGGGCCACTCTCCAGCACGAGGGAGAATAGAGAAAACCCCGGTGTCAGCCCGCCAATCTATAAAGCTGGCTTCCAGCCGCCACATCGAGGTGGCAGGAACGCCCGATGTGCCGCCAGCTCCCAGTCTGGAAACGTCTGTTGTTGGAGCACCATGACCCGCCCACACCTCTCCTGCCCACTGTGAACCCCAGGCACTGTGACCTGCCCATACGTCTCCTGCCCACCATGGCCCCCAGGCCAGCAAATGCCTTGGAAACAGCATGCTTGTTTCCAAAAAGGAAAGCAAAAAATAGCACACAGTTGAATTGCAGAGGAGAAACTGAAGCAAATAAAGACACATTACATTCACAGACCAAATAGGCGGATCTGGAGTTGGCCAGAGACTTGACTTTGGAAGGACTTTGTGAGCCTATTTAGGAGGTAGAATGTTGTTTAACTTTAGCGCAGCTCTGTTGTAAGGAAAACACTGGACTATGACCCTGGCAGTCTGCACTTGGGTGACACGCGGTGATGAGAGGGGACAGCTGTCTGTGGAAAAGTGGGTGCTCCAGGCACTTGTGTTCGGATCAGTCATGAGTGCCCCTCCTCCCCCCCGCCCCCTCCCCGTGCCTGGCCAATCTCTCCCTGACACTTTGCAAGGCCACAGTATTCTGATGAGCTTGCCTTTCTTCACATCCTGAGATGAACCCCCGGGCCGCAGCTCATAGGGCATGCTGGAACCCCGAAGGTGCCCAGGATGGACCAGTGACAATGGGAGTCATGGTAGTGGTGGCAATGTTAACAACAGGGGACAGACGACACCTGGGGCTTGGGCTGGGCCACCGCTGTTCTCAGTGCTTGCTCATAACCCTCACAGCAACCTGACGAGGTACCGCTACCATCATTCCCATTTTAGAGGCTAGGAAATGAAGGCACAGAAAGGTTTCGCCATTTCCCTGAGGTCACACAGTGCCTGTGCTGGGATTTGAACCCAGGCAGTCAGGCTCCGGGGCCCTGGCTCCTCGATGCTATCTCTGCCGTCTTTCTGCTCCTTTAGTAATAAGCGCATCACTTGTGAGCCACGTGAGGGGCACCGGGCCAAGACAATCAGACAGATTTAGGAGGAAAGAACTATGGGGACACGGGGTCTGCCTGAGGCCACCCGGTTAGGGGGGAACTCAAACTCGGATGTGGCTCCCTGACTACAAAACGCACTCTCTTTTCACTGAGCTAGTCTCCGGTGAAAAGGTTCCAGGCTCAGGCCATTTCGGGGTAAGGAAGGAACTGAAGTACCCAGCCTTACGGGACAGGTCTGCTGATGACATGCTATGTCCAAATGAAGCCAAGCCATTCGGGAGCCAGGAAAAGTAGCTGTTGCTATTTAAAGGACTTCTGCCATGTCCCCCCCAGGCAAAGACTCGCTCCCTGGTTTACCTTCTTTCCGTGTTGATGAAGCAGGAGAAGAGGGAGCCAAATGAATTCAGGAAGAGCCCATAGGAAAGTGCTGGCAGCTGTGCTTTCTGCTCCAGCAGTTAAGCTGCTACAACCTGCCCGTGGGAGTCCGTGCGGAGGAAACCGTCCCGGCCTCGGGGAGGATGGCTCCCTGCCGAGGATGCTGCTGTGAAGTTGGACGCAGAGGTGCAGGCAGGATCTTGGGGGAGCCCAGCCTGGGGTCCTGCCAACCTCTCGTTTCTACAGCAGACTTGGAAGCAGCCGCTCGCCGCCTCCCCAGTCGAGCTGCCTACGCTCAATGGCTCACTTTGCCAATGGGCTCCGTGGGCTGCCATCCCTGGCAAGCAGGGCTGGAGGGGCCGCTAATTCACCCGAGTCCAGACTCACGTGTGACCGGGAAAGTAGGATCCGAGTTCATCTGGGAAGGGACAGGACAGAACCCACTTGGGATGGGGGACCTAGTTCCCAGTAAATATAGAGAAACCCATGTTCATCGTGAGAACGGATGGGCAACGTTTGTTCTCCTAACTGGTGACGTCATACATTTTTATGAGATTAGAGGTGATGAGTTGAGAAAGATGGTGGGACATCCCAGATGGGGAAGGATCACGGAGCTACCAGGTGTGTGTGTGTGTTCAATTTGTGATTCAAAGCATAGCTGCTATTCATGCAAAATCCATTCCATTCCAGTCAAGGTCTTAGCATCTAGACTCCCTTAATGAAGACTCTGCCCTGTGGCAGCCCCTACCCACCCCCCCCCCCACCCCGCCCCGCCCGCCAGCTTAAGACTAGCTTCTTTTTCACTAAAAGTAAAAAGGAGAAAGCCCAGCTTCTTATATGATCTCAAAGTCAACCCCTCTCTTCTGTTCCCAGTACTGTTACCCTGATTGTCGTATTCGTAGTCACGCAATATTGACTGAGCGCCACCTTCTTTCTCCCAGACGCGATAGTAAGAAATTTCATAGGATCTTTTGTTTCATCCTCATTCCCATTCCCTGACAAGGGTGGGGTTACACCCTCTTTACCTTCAGAAAGAGGAAGTGGCTTCACTTCTCTGTTTCCTCATCTATGTAATGTGGATGCTAACAACCCCCTTGTCAGGTGGTTGTGAGAAGTGAAGAAGTGAGATGTACTACTGCGCATAGTAGGTGTGCAATAAATGGGAGCTATTTTTCTGGAAACAGTCCTTTCGTGGTCAGTCCATTCATTCTGTTTTGGGCAATGGTGATAATCACAGTGAAAGTAACATTCATGCAACGTACACCGCAGCCCGGACACGGTGCCAAGCGCTTCACACGCACTGTCTTGCCTGGTCCCTCCCCTTCAGGAGATGGGTGCCCCTGGTGTCCTGGTTTCGTTAGAGGAGGAAACTGGAGGCCAGAAACAAAGTCACTGGCCCACAGTCCTAACAGCCGTGCAGAGCAGAGCTGGGATGGGAGCAGCTCAGTGGGCTCCTGAGCCCGCACTCCCCAGCACTGCCCCCCGCCACACCCTCATGAGTGACAGGCCACTGCATCCTTGGCCGTCCGAGTGCCGGGTACCCAGGATCCCATCAAGATGCTGCCTGGGGCAGGAAGGGAGTCTGGGGTGCATGGCAGCCCTGCAAACCTGCAGGACATGGTGAATTTACACATACAAAGGAAGAACCCCAAAAGAGGCTCAGGAAGAGGTACTGGTAGAAAGAGAGTAACTCTGGGAGACCATGTGATGTCGGATGGGCAATGGAGGGAGGGCGCGAAGCTCTAACAGGCGAAGTCGATTTCGGATTGTGGTGGAACAGAGTCCAGACACTCCTCCGGGGGTAGAATTTCCTGGGCGGCGACTGTGAATGTTGGAGTGATTAACCCGAGTAATAACTGCCTTTCCTGACCCCCTCCACCCTCCCCACCCAGTGTCCCTCATCTGAGTTCTTGCTCTGATACACACAGGTACCCATTCGAGTTGGCTCAACGGTAAGAAAGCAATGCCCGGCCCCCTGGGGGCTGGAAGGGCACCTGAGACGTGGTGCATGATGTGGTTCAGGCCTCCCTAACCTCCTCCCTGTCTCGTCTTGCCTCTCTCTGCAGTGATCCGGGCCAGAGTGGTGGGGAAGAAGCTGGTGAAGGAGGGGCCCTACGGCACGCTGATCTACACCATCAAGCAGATGAAGGTGAGTGACCGCAGCCCGGCTTCAGGAGGCTTTCTGGGTCGGTTCTGCCAGAAGAGGCCTGGCTGTGGGGGCAGGGTTGGTGTGTGTTCTCTGAGCCTGAGCCCCAGCCCCAGCCCTTCCACCTGGCTGGAGAGGGTGTTGCTGAGGCAGCAGTAGGGGATGGGCGGAAAGGAGGGCGGGGACGGTGGCTGCTTCATCCCAGAGCCTGAGCAGGTGGGGTCCCTCTGAGGCTGGGCTTTGGATCCAGACAGCAGGCAGCCTCGTTACCTGGTAACCATGAGACCTGGCCAGCTCCCTGGGAGCCGTCGCTGGGCCTCGGGTCTCCCCATCTGTATAATGAGGGGGTTGGGCCAGACTGTCTCACGGCCCTTTCAAGCCCTGACTTTGAGTTTCAACCATGCCCACGGGTCTTGTGCAGCCACTGATGTTGCAACTGAGGTTTCCTCCTCAACGCTTTACATTGAGCTTTGTGCTGGTCACAGAAACCTCATCGGGGAACAGGGACTCTACCCTCTGACCTATTTTCCCAGTTTCCCTTGTCTTCTTGCGTCCCAGCTAGTTAGCATCATTTGTGGGCTTATTCATACAGCTAAGCGTTGTCCCGAGCATGGTCCCACGGTGCGCACACTAAGGAGCCGCCTGAAGGAAAAGATTCAAAGTCTAGGGAACCTGCGTCCTGGTCTCAGCTCCTCTCCTGAGGAGCTCGCTGATCTTGGAGCCTTCCTTCACCTGGGCCTGGGTTTTGCCCTGTGTTAGCAGCACGGAGTGGACTCCGTGCCCCGAAGGGCCCTATGGCTGAGGCATTTCCAGATGCTGGGACACTGGCCATGTTCCTTCTAAACAGGAGCTGCTTCAGGAGCTGGATAATGTGGCAGCTGGCCCATCAGCCACCTCTGTAAGCACCTCCCTGTGGGCAGCGCTGTAGCCAGGAGCCGTGGAGGCCCCTGGGAAAGCAGGGCTCCTGCGTTTAGGAACTGCAGGCCGGCGGGGAGAGGAGACACAGGGTGACGAATCAGAAGTTCAAGATGGGTGCACTCAGGTCCCCGGGAACTGCCAGCCCCTTTACTCCCTGCTCACGTCTGCATCCCCAGCAGTGAGGGCGGGTGCACAGCTCTGGGAGGCACCCGTCCATCCCCGAGGCAGACCTGCGGGCCTCACTCTTAAGTGGGGGTAGAACCTGCTGCTTTGATTTGGAAACATCCACAGCCTCCTGGTTATGTAATGTCCAGAGCCAGGCCTGGCCAGCTGCCCTTGGCTGCCCGAGCGCGGTCATGGGACCCGCTTATGTCTTCCGACGGCCAGAGAGAGAGAACAGAGGGCGGAGGGGGGACCAAGAAGAGCAACAACAACCCAGAAACCCACTGCGCAGCTCCAGGCAGGTCAGACAGGGCGGAGGTTTAGGAAGCACACCCCCTGCCCGCCCCGCCGCCGTCCTGCACAGGGAGACTCTGTGCCAGGAGAGGGTGGGAGGCTGTGGCTCCTAGGTTTGCCCGGCTCCCTCCTTCCTTCAGGGCCCGGACGCATGGCCAGAGGCCCTTCCTCTGGGCAGATGTCCTATTTCTCCTCTGGGGTGTCAGACCAGCCACTGGGGGGGAGGTGTTTGGAGGCCAAATAACATTTGCTCACCCATCAGCTTCAGAGCCACCCGCCCCCACTCCCAGGACGCTGGTCCTCTGCGGTCCATGCGCCAGCCTCCGCCCAGGCTCCTAACCAGGTGCTGGGCATTAGGGCAGCACGTGGCTCCTTTACTTCTGAGGGACCCGGAGGGAAATGATTTACTCAGGGGCGGGCATTAATGAAAAGCAGCTCTGGTCCCCTCGCCGAGGTGTCAGGATTCCTTCCCAGTCTGTGTGTTCTTTACATGACCCCCCAACTCTCCTGCCAGAGAGATGGATCAGCAGCAGGGTGCATCATTCCCGCCCACTCTGGGGGTCCCCCCGGCCCCGTGTGTACCCAGTCCCCCAGGGAACTGAGAGGTTCGCTGGAGTTTGTGGGTTTGCCGTGCAGCAGTGTAACTCTTGACTTGCAACATCCTGCAAAGAGTGTAACAAAAACATCTTTGTAGGAGGGAAGGGAGAGAAGCCGGGAGGCCGGCCTGCATGGGCTTTGGCATGGGTCCCTGGGCGCTTTATTCTAGCGGATTAGCATCTACCCAGAGATTGGGGGAGCAAGGGCTCCCTTAAAGCAGGCCTACGGGAACTTGGAGAACCTGAGAAGTCATCGCCCTGTTGGGCCTCTCTCTTCATTCTCAAAGTCCCCCCCTGGCCACCCCCCTCCCCGCTCCCCCCTACCGCCCCCTCGCCCCCCACAAACAAAAACCCTCTCACCCAGATGAAAGACAGGCAGACCCCTCCCATATGCTCACTCCAGAGCCTCTGGGTAGCCTCTCGGACACATCTCTAGTGTGCAGAGACCCACGGTGCATGGTGGTGGTCGGGGGGTGGGGTGCTGCTGGAATGTTGAGGGAGCTCATTGCAAACCCAAACTTGGAGATTAGCGGGAGCTGAGCCACGGGGCTGCGGTGCAAAGGTGGAAGTTTCCAGAAGTGGCCGCTGTACTCTATGGGGACCGCCTCTCCTATCAGGACCATGGGAAAGCAGTCTGCTTTGCCAGGGGCTGCCGCTGGTGCCGCAGAGACATGCTCTCAGGCCAGCTGCAGGGACAGCACGTGGGGACAATATGTCCCAGCGCGTCCCACGGGGAAGCTGTGCAGGTCCTGACTCTGGCAGGATAGACAGACAGATCCGCTGGGCGACTGGAATGCTCGGATCCCGGGGGCTTCCTTCCTTTGGCGGTTTGTCTGATGGGATGAGCAATAGCAGGGTCTCGCCTTTGAAGCGCCGGCTCCAGCCTCTGACACCCCCTCCCCAGCACACAGCATCCCTTCCTCCTTCTGCCTGGGACTCTTCGTGGTCTGGGTCCCATTAGCCGTGTGCAGGGACCGGCTCCCCTCTCAGGCTCTGCCTCCCCAGCCAGACAGCAGTCTGTGAGAGAAAGGCCATGCGCCTGGTGCCCGTCAGGCACTAGCTACAAACTCGGCTGCTTGGTCTGTAAATGAGTTTGCATGCAGCACAGTGGTCTTCCGTGGGCACCAGAGAGATACTGATAGATGCCCTCAGACTCCGAAACATCCTCCTCACACTGTGTCCCTTCACCCCAAGGGAAGCAAACTCCTTGCGACTTTGTGTAGGTACTACCGAGGGAGCCCAGGGCCTTGTAGAATCTCACACACACGCACACACGCACACACACACACGCGCGCGCGCACATGCACAATGGAATAGCATTCAGCTTTAAAAAAGGACATCTTGTCCCTTGTGACGACAGGATGAACCTGGAAGGCACGCTAAGTCAAATAAGACAGACACAGAAAGAAACACTGCGTGGTCTCACTCTGATGTGAAATTGAAAAAAGTCAGACTCTTCGAGGCAGAGAGTAGAATGGTGGTCACTGGTGGCTGGAGGGTGAGGGAAATGGGTACAACGTTTCAGCTTTGCAGGATGAAAGGATGCTGGGGAGCTGAGGCCGGCATGGGGACTCTGGCTACCAGTGCAGGTTGTATACTGTGGGTCTGCTGAGAGCAGAACTTCAGTGCCGTCTCACACACAGAAGGAACGCTAGGAGGGGATGGATGTGCTAAGTAGCTGGATCGTGGCCATCACTTCACCAGGTACACATCTATCAACACAGCACATTGTACACCTTAAATACACACCCTTTCTATTTGTCAACGATGCCTCAGTAAAGCTGGAGGAGAGAAGGGACAACTCGCTTACACATGAAGTTCCACACCAGCTCTAACTATGGGCACGAAGAGGGGAGGTTGGGCAAAGACACGTGGGAAGGGGACCAAACCTTTCCCCGCTCCTTGTGAATTGTAGTATACCTGGTTTTAAGCGACTTCTACTGAATGTTGTGCACTGGGTGCTATTCTAAGTCACTTAATTCTCAACAGCATCTTATGGAATAAGTGCGCTGCCCCATTTCACAGATGAAGAAACTGAGTCGCTGTCCACGTGGCTCACACAAGGCAGGGACAAGACTCTGTCTCCAGAAACCCAGGTTTACCATCAATCCTCCACTGCACTGGCTAGACTAGGTTACCTTTAGCATCCTTTCAGTCCCGATCCTCCAATTCTCAGACTTCAGGACATGATAAGCCTATTGTAACCCTCCTAAATTTGTCAAGCCAATTCTGGGTCTCTACGATGGCAGATCTAAGGACCCTTTAGGATCAATATGTAGGTCAAGATAGGACTAATATAAAGAAAAGACAACAGAAGGAGCAAAATACCGCTACGATACATTTACCATATTGTTATCTTCAGAACGGACCCCACCAGGCAGCACTGAGTTTGTCAGATGCGATCACTTGGGACACATTATAGTCTGACTGCGTGCCAGTGCGAGAGCCGTGTTAACATAAGGCTCCTGCAAATTCAAGATCAGCGGCGAAGCCAGGCTGGGTTTGACGGGTCCAGCTCTTCCTGAGCAGCCAAGTCACGGGACTCTAAGCAGGGGCCGGTTCTTACCACAAAGCAAAGAGGAGATGAAGGGGGAAGACCCACATGGAATGAACTGAGGCTCCAATGGACGAGGCCTGAAAGACAGACCTAGAGCAAGGCCTGGGTTGAAAGACTGGCCCAACACTCAGGGGTCCTCCACCCCAAAGCAAGAAGGCGCTGGGCACAGACAGCCACCCTGGGTGGAGGCACAGAGCGGCACTCCTGAGCACGGATCCCGCTGAAGCCGGAGAGGCGCCACCTAGCACTGAGGAAGTGGGGGGCCCTGCTCCCCACGGCATAACCGAACACCGCGTGCGGACAGCACTTCGCGCAGCGCCTGGCGGCGTCTCCCCCGGCAGCTGTCTCAGGAGGAGAGGATTAGGAAGGGAGGCCAGGTGAATGAGAACCATCTGCACTGCTGGCTGCACACAATCGCCAGAGCGCTCCCCTCCGAAGGCAGGGCTCCCAAGCTCCGTCCCTCCCACAGAGCCCTTCTGCCGGCAGAGCTCCTAGTGACCACCTACCCCGCCCGCTGCTCGCCACTTAAAAGAAGACAAGGAGGGAAAACAAACAGCCCATCAGACCAAACGGGAGGCCCTCGGGTGAGACACCAATGAGATGAGGTCTGGCTTTTTATTAATTCCCACCAGTAAGTGAAGAGCGCATGCCAGGAGCCCCTGGAGAGGCTCTGTCCTACTGCAAACCCTTGGGATCCGCCCGGAGACCACCAGCACCCAGGGCCTGTGTGTTCTGAGCACTGGAGGGATCGTGGGGCGGGGCAGCCCCGCAGGGCCCATCCCACCCCCAGCAGCTCCCAGGCACAGAGTTCAGTGACAGGTCCGGACCCACGTAACCCTCGCGGGCTTGGCCTGGAGGCACCGAGGGGATTCAGACTCCGTCACGTTCACACCAGTGGCTGAGCGCACACTGACAGAGCAGGCGCAGTGGTCACCAGGCAGTTCCCTGCACCAGTTCCCTGAGCATGAACTTGTGAGTGTGCACAGGGGTGGGCCCATAGGATAATGGCTAAGAGGATGGACTCTGGAGCACAGTCCCCTGCTTGGACCCCTACCTCTGCCATCTATCAACCATGTGGCCTCAGACAAGCCATGAACCTCCCTGGGCCTCAGGCTCCTCATCTATAAAATGGGCATAACAGTGCCTGCCTCATAGGGCTGTCATGGGTTTAAGTGGGTTGGGATTAGAGGAGAATTTCTCAGCCTTGGTACTGTTGACATCTGGGGCCAGGAGAACTCTTTGCTGGGGGGGAGGGAGCTGTCTCGTAGATCATAGGGTATTTAGCAACATTCCTGGCTCCATCCACCAAAAGCAGCCCCTCTACCCCACCTCCTGGCTGCGGCAAGCAAAAATGTCTCCGGACATTGCCAAGTATCTCCTGGGCTGGGGATAACATCGCCTGCAGTTGGGAACTACTGTATTAGATTATGTTGTAGACAAAAATGCCCAAATATCAGCCGTTTGACCATGATAGAGGGTTTAGTTAAACACCTAGGAGCTGTGTGCATGCTTTTGTGCTTTATCTGGGGTGAAAGAACCAGTGCTCTCAGTCGACGGTCAGAGGAATAGAAGCATGGGGAACCTTGGGCTTGAGTTCCACTTTCGCCAAACAGACTTTCTCTGAGTCCCCCCATGCCCCCCATCTGTAAAATGGGTACAGGAGTACCTGCCTCCTAAGGTTCCTGGGAGGAGACAGTGAGGGAATGTATGTGAGAATGTGAGCTTCCATACGCTGGGCATGTCACCAAGACGTCAAGAGAATGCTGGCTGGCTGCCTTCTCGGAGCATAGGCCCTGAGGTTGGGGAGGCAGGGAAGACCCCTTTCACAGCAAAGCCATCTGTGGATTTCTAGAAAGGGGTGTCCCTGGAGGGGCATTTGTGGGGGGTTGGAATAGGAAGTGCGACTGGCTGGACGGGAAGGCTTCTCTGGGCAGCCGCCAATGCTGGCTCAGTCGGGAGGAGACGAGGTGGCCTCATCCAGAGCGAAGGACCTGGGGCGGGGGGGGGGGTTGGTGACCAGCCTCGCGATGACCAGTCGGGGGAATCAGATTCCTGTAGACCAGTGGCTCTCAACCTTCTGGCCCTTTAAATACAGTTCCTCATGTTGTGACCCAACCATAAAATTATTTTCGTTGCTACTTCATAACTGTCATGTTGCTACTGTTATGAATCGTAATGTAAATATCTGATATGCAGGATGGTCTTAGGCAACCCCTGTGAAAGGGTTGTTTGACTGCCAAAGGGGTCGCGACCCACAGGTTGAGAACCTCTGCTGTAGACCATGTGACAGCGGGCTCCGGAGCCCGGTTCTCCTCTCACAACCTTCCTCCCGCCCACAGATGTACCGAGGTTTCACAAAGATGCCCCACGTGCAGTACATCCACACGGAAGCTTCCGAGAGTCTCTGTGGCGTGAAGCTGGAGGTCAACAAGTACCAGTACCTGCTGACAGGTAACAGCCAACTTAGCAGCTGGGCCGGGGTTTGGCCAAGGCCCACGGGTCCTTCACTTCAGAAGGACGGAGGAGGAGTGGCTGACCAGAAGGGTCCCGAGGACCTCTGCCTGCGCCCAGTGAATTGTGGGGAGCGTGTAGGGTTGAGGGCACCTCCCGCAGCCTGTGGGGGGACCCTGAGGCTGCTGCACCCAGGCTGGCTTTGTCTCAGCTCCACCCCAGACCCCGTGGAGGAGATCCCCTGGTTTTGGTGTCTCCGCGCTGCTGTAAATGAAAAGGGGTCACCAGTCCCCGCTCCTCTCCACCTCACAGTCAGCCTACGAGGTCTGTCTTTGAAACTCACCTCCACCCCCTTTAGGCTGTCAGTGTAGGAAAGGAAATGACAAAATCAGAGCCCGGAGCCGCTGATGTGGGAAGTGAAGAGCTGGCCCCTGGAACCAGCTCCATGGTCTGAGTGACCTGAGTTGGTTTTCCCCATCGGGACAACGGGGACTCAGTCCATCCTCAAAGGTGTAGGGGAGGATGAAATAATACAATCTCAGGACGGAAGGGTACTGAGCACAGTCCCTGGCCCACCGTGGGGACTCAGGAGGTGTGGCTTCTTCCCCTTCTGCTGGGCTCCCCCAAAACAACTCTGCCTCTGCCGCCCTCTCTCCTCCTCCAGGCCGGATCTTCGATGGGAAGGTGTACATAGGACTGTGCAACTTCGTGGAGCGGTGGGACCAGCTCACCATCTCCCAGCGCAAGGGGCTGAACTATCGGTATCACCTGGGTTGTAACTGCAAGGTAAGCCCTGGGACAGGCAGGTGAGGGTGGGGAGTGCTGGCTCTCAGCCCCGGAAATACCAGCTCCTGCTGCACTGGGTGCTGGGCCCTGGTGTAGGGAAGGGAGTGAGGAGGGGCCGGGGCAGAGGAGCAGGTCTGAGCAGGGGTAGAAGGAATGCTGTCCCCAGGCCGAGGAGCGGAGAAGGCGAGAGCAGAGTGCCTTCTTGCTGCAATCCGCTGCCTCCCGTCCATCTGTGCTGCCCCCTTGGCAGTTGCTGGGGCACAAGGGCCCTTCAGCTTCCCCGGCCCCTCCCTCGGCTCACGTTGGTGGCAGGTACAGAGTCCTTACACTGGCAGGTCCTGCCAAGTGGGCTCACTCGAGCAGCTGACTCGTTGGCGGCTCCACCCTGGGGGAGAGGGGAGGAGAGCTGGCTTGCTGATGCCACACACGACAGAACATGATTCTTGAGCCAGGTCCAATCCCTTGACCCAGACACAGGGACAAGGCTCGCAGCCTTCCTGCTGTTGGAGGGAGCTGGGTGTTCTCTCACGTGACTCTCAAAACAACTCTGCAGTTTTTACTACTATCCTCCCCATTTTACAGATGAGGAACTAGAGGCTCTGAGACCCTAACTAACTTGCCCTAAGTCACACAGCTCTCTACGTCTGATGACCAGCCTAGGGCAGCTGAACTCCTAATTTATGCTTTAATCCGCTTCCTCAATTCCCTACAAGAACTGAGATCGCCCATCCTGGCTTGTTACCACTTGAGAGGGAGAAGCTCTCTCAAATGTCTAATGCTACCACTTTCTGGCTGTGTGACCTGGCTGCGCCATTCAGTTGCTTAACCTCTCTGAGCCTCTATTTCCATATTTGTAAAAGGGAGAGACAGCTGTTATCAGAATGAAAGAGAAGAGCATAGCGCAGCCTTTAGCAGAATGTCTGGCGCACAGTAGGTGCTCAGTAAGAGTTAGCCAGTAGTACGTTATTTTCACCAAGGGACCACGGTGGCTGGGGTCCCCCTGCCGTGGTCCCAGTTCTGAGGAGTCCTGCCTTGGGCCAGCATCAGGCCTGGGCCCGCCATGGCAGAGTCTGCTAACCGACGGCTGTTACCTAATTGCAGATCAAGACCTGCTACTACCCGCCTTGCTTCGTCAGCTCCAAGAACGAGTGTGTCTGGACCGACATGGCCGCGAGTTTCGGCTACCCTGGCCACCAGACCAAACACTACGCCTGCATCCGGCAGAAGGGTGGCTCCTGCAGCTGGTACCGAGGATGGGCCCCCCCAGACAAAACCATCATCAATGCCACAGACCCCTGAGCGCCAGGCCCTGCCCCGCCTCACCACCCTCCCTTCCCGCTGAGCTTCCCTCGGACACTAACTCTTCCCAAATGATGACAATGAAATTAGTGCCTGTTTTTCTCGCAAATTTAGCACTTCGAACACTTAAAGCAAAGTCTGTGCTGTCGTATGGAGTTTATTCGGAAACAACCTCCTGGCCCCACCCCACGCCTTCTTTTCGGTTTTGACATCCCCCGTTTCCACCCAGGAATTTTTGGTGCCATGCCAGAGAGAATGAGGAATGTACACTCCTCCTCTTCGTGATAACATAATCTATATTTTTTTAGGAAAACAAAAATCAAAAAACTACCCTACGTGGGCACTGTAATGCCTACCCCGCTTTCTTCCTCGCCCCCCCCCCCCCCCCCAGCATCTCCTAGACCCTCCTCCCTCTGCCCTTCTCCTCCATCCCAGCCCAGAAAGGACACAGACAAGGTCGCTGCTGAAAGCCAACTGTTTGAGGATCAGTCAAGGGTAGCAACCAGCTAGACTCAAGGTATGCAGAAGATCTTATACACTGAGGGATGCTACTGCATGTTCCAACCAGACTATGTCTGTCTGTGTGTCTCTCATGTAAGAGGCGCAGGGGGCAGGGAGGAACCGTGAGAGAGGGTCTGAGAGAATGCAGCACACACAATTCCCCCCCCCAGTCCCGTGATGCTCGGGTAGACCAGATGTCTCTGAGTCTGGAGCAAACAGCCAGGCTGCAATAACAACTTTCTTAGTCCGGTGAAGATTTAAACATCTGCCTGAGGTCAGGAGGCTATTTGCCTGCCTTGTACAAAAGCTCCGGTGAAAACCGAGACGAATGTCTTTCCTTTCCCCGCCTCCCCTGAGATTCCCTCCTGGAGAACTCTTTCGTCAATGTGGCCAGGAGCTTGCCCTTATGTAAATTGGACAAATACACACACCATATACACTATCCACAGCTGCAGCCACATAGACTTGGTTAGAGAATACTATTTCCAAGGTAACGTTCAGCTCACCGAGGAGGCTGTGTTTGTATACACATTTGCATATACCCACACGGGGACATAAGCTGATTTTTTTTTTTTACAGGACACAGAATTCTGTTCCATGCTGTTAAATACACCAATAGTTTAATCTCTTCTATTTTGTTGTTGCTTGTTGGAAGAAAATCATGACATTCCAAGTTGACTTTTTCTTTTCTTTTTTTCATTTTAATTAAAGTTTGAGATTCTGAACACCCTCAGCATTCCTCTAACTGGGGTCACCTGACCTCTGCCCCTGACCTTTTCTCCCGCTTCATGTTCAGGGCCTTCATTTCACTGCCTTACTGGCTGGGCTCCGGTGGGAGATGCGAGTTAGTGTGGGTCGGGGGCTGGGCTCGGGAGGGAAGGCTGCGGTGCCCTGCCAAGGCCAGATGGCCAGCTTCCCTGGGCCGGCTTGTCTTTCCCAGCTCACGGGTGGGTGAAGGCCACTTCCTGGGGGCCTCACCGCATGGGCTTAAATGGGTGGTCACTGGGGAAGCCTGATTCTGTCATCGGCTGTAGGGGGTTTCTTTTGTTGTGTTTTTTTTGGAATAAAACTATAATATAAACTCTCCAGTTAAATAAAAGTATTTTAAATGTTAGTGCTGAGATGAGATGCGGAGAGCAGGCGATCATATATATTTCAGAATGGGGGGTGGGAGGATGGTGACATGGAACATGACTGCTCTCCTTTTTCCAGATCATGGGTATTTATCCTCTATTAGTATCTGTATCTTCAGTTCATTCCGCTTTAGGAAACAGAGCTGCCCACTGACACAGGAGAACAAACGGCAGGCGACACGTTGTGATGTCTCGCGCACACACGCAAATGCCCAGGCAGGGTGCTTGGTGGAACCCCGGGGGGGAGGGGAGGTGGTGCGGGAGACAGTACAGGCACCTGGTTTCCTTAGGATCAAGTCCACTGCCTTGTACCTTTCACCTTGCGGTCGTGACATTTGGCACGCAGGAAACAGAGGCTTTGCCGTCCCCAGGGGGCAGTGTGAGCAGAAGGAGCTGCGGTCAGCAGTCTTTTAAGGGGTGAGCCTCAGACTTGATGTTTTTTAAGATTTTTATTTCAGCCTCAAAGGCTTACAAGGTGGAACCCCTAATCCAACCTGTACAAGTTCCCCTACCCATAGTCGGACGTCAGCCTCCCCTCCACGAGGCAGTGGACCATTCTCAGTCCCTGGTGGGGTCCTTCCACTCACCCGGCAGGGACGTGGGGTGGGGCCTGGCATGAGTCACCTAAGGTTTCCCTGCAGACAAGCGGGCAGAACCACAGGCCCACGTGCCAGGCCCCGGTGAGGAGGACAGCAGGTCCTGGGCAAAGAAGGGTCCTGTGCAAAGCGATGTTGCCAGAGGGCGTCTGTGGAGCTTTCCAGAAGCTATAGCTTTGTTTATTTCACCTGTTCACTGACTGTATAATTTAAAGTCACTTATGTAGCTGAGGCACTTCTGTATTTCAGTCATATCGTGAGCGTTTTATTTTGCTAAATCTTATCATGTGTAGGCTGTAATATGTGTACATTGTGTTTAAGAGAAAAAGAAATGAAACCCAGATGCCACCATTTTCCCGAATCAAATTCTACAGTGGAACGGAGGGTAAATGCTTCTGTGGCGCAGGCGGCTGGACTGGCGAACCGGGGAAGTTAGAAGGGGCCGGCTCTGAGGCCCCTCCGGCCCCCTCTCGGTCAGCATCCGTGCTCTCTGGAGGAGGCAGGAGGCGGGGAAATGGCAAGCAATTCCATGTCCTTGCTCTGCATCAACTGGCCCCGGGCAGTCTGCCGGCCATTCCCATTCCTCTCCTCCCCTGGTCCCTTTGCCAATTGGGAAGCCATGATTTCTCCTAAATCCCGGGCCATGAGAGCTGTCATTCCAAGACCTCTTGGTGTCCCCTGGCCATCTCTCTGCCTCCCTCTCCAGGAAGCCCGCCAGGCTCTGCCGCTCTGTCCAATGCTCCCTGTGGCAAGGCAGGAAATACTGGGAGACTCCTCACCCAGCCCCAGACCCAGCGGTCAGGCTACAGCCCACGAACACCATTTTTCATACCCTGGTTCCTGAGCAATTCAAGAAATAAATGATTTATTTATAGGGGCAGCTCTGTCTCAGAGACACCGAGGGAGACCATACCCTCCCCTGCCCCAGCCCGTCATCCTGGGTTTGACGATGGCCAATACAGATGCCCCCACGATGACACCCAAGTGCTTGGCTCCCGGCTGCCCAAAGTTAAAAAATATCACTAAAATAGTTTGGCACAAGGAAAATGCTTTGAAGATCTGATGGCAGAAGCAAAACAAAATGGGGACGGGCAGGAGAGGTAGATTTCAGCAGCCTCCCAAGTGGCTCTTGGGAGGCGGGAGGAACTGAGAGACCTGGTCATGCTCCGAGGGGAGGGGCTGCGAGGCCCTCCCCCCGCGCCTTCCCCCTCAGCCAGTCTGCTGCCCTGAGGCCCAGAAGTGATGGAGAGACACCAACCAGAGAAAACCCTGTCTGGAAGGAATGTATTTGTTGCTAAATTTTGTAGCACTGTTTACAGTTTTCCTCCATGTTATTTATGAATTTTATATTCCGTGAATGTATATTGTCTTGTAATGTTGCATAATGTTCACTTTTTATAGTGCGTCCTTGATTCTAAACAGTAAAGTGGTTTTATTTCTATCACACACCTGCCGTCTCTCGCCTCCTTGTGTCCTGGCCGCCGTCGGGGGATGCAGGTCACAGAGGGCCTTGGAAGCCAGTGGGTCCCGCCTGCCCTGGCCCCAGGCTCCAGGCCCCTGCACACTCCCCTCGCTCCACTCACCTCCACGGCCTGGTCCCTCCCCACCCTGGTCCCTCCCCGGGCAGGGGGAATTTCAGGAGAGGCCTCTTAGATTTCCTCCTGGCTGCTCCTCCAGCCCCGCCCTTGCTCCCCGATTCTATGTCCATGGTTTTCCATCATTCCACAGAATTGGGATCTTTACCTGGTTACCTGCTAGTGCTACAGGTACTACCGGCTGGGAGCCCTGACTTGGCCTGCCCGTCTCCTTCCTCAGAATCTCAATCACGTGGACGTGGGGAGGGGAAGACTGCAAAGATGTCAAATGCCTGCCTGGAATTCTGAGTGTGGCATGAGTTCAATGCCAGGACCTCATGAGGCCTGACCGTAGACGGCAAAGCCTGCCCAGAGCTTAGAGCCGCCTGTCACCCCCAATGGACGCTGTAAACCCTTCACCCAATTGTCACCCCATTGCTGACAATGTCCCAGGGTAGAGCTTTGCTTGTATTTTAAAGCGACACTACTTTGAACACCTATCGTACGCCAGACACAGCACTCAACACACAGGGTTTCATTAAATGTCAACAACCCAGTGAGGTTGTTCCTCTATCACTGGTGGTTTTCAGCAATGGGAACTCAGACTCACAGATATGAATTCATTCCCCAGGATCTAGTCAGCAGGCAGAACGAGGAGTCACGCTCAGGCTGGTTTGACGATAAACACTCCATTTCCCCACTGTGGTCACGCTTTGCTGGAATATGCTGGGTTCCACACGCCCTTCTTATTCCAACCAGCACATCCTGCATGCTAGGACTCTCACGGCATCGGATGCAAGTGAGAGATAATCAATGGCAACCCGCTGCATCGACTGCTCCCACCTGGAGCCTGCAGTCCTACCCAACAGTGTCTCCAAATGGGATCGTCCCACTCAGCAGCCTGAGCTTGGAAGTCTACAGAGGCCACTGTCCCTTGCTGGTACCCTCTGATACCCTATTAACTACCCTGTTCTCCAAGACTCCCATGCTTCCCGAGGCGAGTGGAGCTACGGCCCTGGGCTCCTGTGACCAACCAACCGCACAAGCAGGCATGTCTCGGGCTGTTTCCAGCTGCCCAGGACTCTCCCACCCAACTTGCACGAGCCACGGGGTGGAGAGCGCTCCAGCCCATTTAAAACGACCATGACCTCTGCCCTCGGGCTGTCCAAGTTAAGCTTCGACCACTTCCCAGAGACAACTGCAAGTGTATTCAAAAGTTGGAATGTGAAGAGGACACACAAGGAAACTGCCCTTCAACAATCCATGCCAGTCAAACATTACCGCTTTTATTAACATAAGAGTGGAAACCAAGTCCGGCGCAGGTGCAAACAAAATAACATCCCGCCTCTGAAACATCGTGTACCCTTATTATCAACCTTTGGCCCCCACATGCTCGTTCAAGTTGTCCCCTTGGGTGCCCCAAACCCCCGAAGTCCCAAGGAACTCTGCCCCCCTTGGTCACGCGTCCTGCGGCCTCAATCCCACCTGCGGAGGGGACTCTTCCCTTAGGACAGCCGGGCGTCCCGTAAGACACTGCGGTTCTTCCCGGGAGAGCCACCCCGGGCCCACCTCCTCCATCCAAATGGACGGAGAACACAGACACGTGTCACTCCAGGTCACACGAATAAGCAGCGTAGACGGGACACTCACCATTGGCTTATGGTTGGGGAAAAACGTCTGCTCCACAAGCGGGAACTTCTCAGGACCCAGGGAGTGGAAGATCTTAATGAGCTGAGAAAACTAGGCGAGAAGAGGAGAGAACACTGGTCAACACCTGTCATCCGTATGACAGGGCCACCCGTGACCCCGGGGCTCGAGCGTCCGACGGCTCTGAGCTGAGCCACAGTGGCTGCACTCTGCCTACGGGGAAAAGGTCACAGGCCTTAGCTGGGCATCTGTTATCTCGTTTATCTGGCTGCATCAGCCCCTTCATTCCTGTCAGGCACACCGAGTTCAGCTCAATAACTTGCAATGCACATTTCCTATACCCTCAGCCTCTCACACAAGCACAACCTGCTGACATTCACACCATGTCCCTTGCCTGCCGTGCCCTTCTTTCTAGAGAGGCACATGGCATAGGAGTTTATGGCACAGACTCTGGGTTCAAATTCCTGCTCCTGCACTTCCGTTCTGGATAACCTGGGAAAACCACATCAGGTGTCTGAACTTCAGTGTCCTCGTCTGTGGATGGAGAAAATGAGAGATCCAACCTCATAGGGCATTGCAAGGATTAAACGTGCAGGGTATTAAAGGGATTTAGGCGTAGTTGGGGGAATGGAGGCGTGGTATTTTGGGGAAAGCCTCTTTTACAGGCAACATCTAAATGGAGACTCAACTACATCAAGGGAATGAATGAAACAAGTGAATAAAAGGTGGGGTAAATCAAGTCTTGGGGGTTGGAAAGAGGGCTCCCAAGTTCTGGCTTCACGCCTGGACTCTGGGTGAGTTCCTCAGCTGTTCTGAGCCACCTGCACGTGATAATGATGGACCGAATGCCAGGCAGCACAATGTTCTGGTCCTTGCTCAGTGCTCAATAAACAGTGCCTACTGCTAACCACAGTGACATGACAGAATATCAGTCAGAACAGGATGGTACTGCCTCTTACCACTATTATCATTATAAGACACCACTATATCATAATATGTGTTATATGATATTTGTTAGGCAATCATTACAAGAAGGGGACTGGGATCCAAGTTGCTCATTCAGCTGCCTTTTCATTCTGAGGTCTCCATGTTGGGGAGCGGGACCGTTTCAGGCCTGGGAGGGCCTCCCATCACCCCCACCTCGCTCTGGGTTAGCCTAGCCGCCACCTACCACCCAGGGCTTGCTGCAGAAGTTGTAGACAGAGTAGAGGGAGTTGACGGCGGGCAGCCCTCCATACTGCAGGCCGATGACCAGGCTGCGGTAGTCTTCGCCCAGGGCCATGCTGTAGGCGTGCTGGCGGACCAGGATGAAGTCTGGCTTGAAGGACCTGCGAGAGAGGGGCCGACAGCAGCATTACTGCGCTGTGCACTGAGGAAACACCATGCATCGGCCACAGGCTGCTGGGAGAGCACTGGGCGGTGTGGCCACTGCCCGGGAGCCCTCCGTTCACAATGGGGATGGGGTGGTGGTATTTTGGATGAGGACAGTCAGCTGCAAACACAACGTAAAATGATTGAAAACAACTTTCACTTTCATTCTGCTTCCCTTTCTTTTTATTTTTCATAATATTCTTTTTTTAAAAAAAATTTTTTTTATTGATTTCAGAGATAGAGATAGAGATAGAGATAGAGATAGAGAAACATCAATCATGAGAGAAAATCATTGACTGGCTGCCTCCTGCAAGCTCCACACTGAGGATTGGGCCTGCAACCCAGGCATGTGCCCGGACTGGGAATCGAACCCTGGCCTCCAAGCTCATAGTTCGACACTCAACCACTGAGTCACACCAGCCGGGCTTGCACCTGCTGCCAGCGCAGACCCCACTTGCACCCACAGCCGGCACTGGAGCTGCTGCTCGCACCCACTGCTGGTGCCCGGCACTGGTCCCGAATTGGTACCATCAGCAGGTGCGAGCAGCGGCTGCCGGCCCTGATTGCCCCTGCGGGCTTCTTCACCTCCCCCTGCTCCTGAGGGGTGATTGGAGCAGCAGCCACCGCTCGCACCTGCTTACGGTGCCAGCCCCACTCGCACCCACTGCTGGTGCTGGCCCCAATCGCTTCGCACCGTCAGTGGGGGGGAGCAGGGCCAGTGCCGTCAACGTGTGGGAGCCATGGCTACAGGAGTGGGGCTGCTGGGAGACAGGGGGCTGGGGGCCGCAACCGGAGGGGCTGGGCGGGGGTGTGGAGGATGGGCCAAGATCCGCCTCTGTGCCGACTGCAGCCTCATGGCCCACAGTTCCTTTCAAGGTGCACGAATTTGTGCACTGGGCCCCTAGCATATCATAATTAAATCAACCAATCATCTACTCTCATCAAATAGGTTATTTCCAATATTTCACATACGTTCGTCTTTGCACAAAAATCACTGCCTTCATTTAAAACTATCTCCTTAAGATAGATTTAAGAAGTGGGATTACTGGGTTAAAGGGTATAAACTTTCTAAAATGTAATTAAAAAAGTATGTCTTTTAAAATTTTTTTAAATTGATTTTAGAGAGAGAGGAAGGGGGAGAGAGGGAGAGAGAGAGAGAGAGAGAGAGAGAGATGTGAGAAACATTGATCAGTTGGCTCCTGCACGTGCCCCAACTGGGAATCGAAACTGCAACCTGGGTATGTGCCCTGCCTGTGAATTGAACCTGCAACCTTTTGGTGGCGAGTGACACCAGATGCTGTCGAGAGGCCCGTGGGGCCCACCAGCAGCCGCACATTGTGGTGACTGTGGGGAAGGGGCTTGGTGGGGTTATGAACAGCTGGGCTCTCTGATGAATCCTGGGCCTCTCTGTAAAGTTTATAATACAGGAACATGAGTTGCGGGAGGAAGTAGCCTTCCTCACCTCCTTTCTCAGTCTCAGAATCTGTCTGTTTATCCTGCTCTCTGGCTTCCCTTTCGTTCCTGAGACGGTGTCCATGCCGCTCCACCCTACTCCTCCGTCCTCCTGGCGAATCCACACGTTATGGGTTGAAGTGTGTCCCCCACAAAGACACGTCGAAGTCCTCAGCCCTGTTACCTGCACGTGTGACCTGAGGGGAAATAGCATCTGCAGATTTAATCAAGCGAAGACGAGGCGATGCCGGAGTGGAGGGGCCTCACCCGATGCCTGGGAGTTTACAGGAAGTGTAAATGCAGACACAGACACGGAGAGCAAGAGGAGGGCTGCACGCGACGAAGGAGGTAAAGATCGGAGGGACGTGTCTACACGCCAAGGAGCACCAAGGGTCGCTGGCATC